CAACTCAAAAAAAAAAAAAAAATGCTTTCATGGGAGATTTAAGTAGGGAATTAAACTGTTGTTAGCAGGGGTGGGAAGAAATGGCAAGATGGAGGACAAAGCTTATAAAGTTGCAGATATGTGGGATGAATACATCTAGAGATCTAAAGTACAACCTGAGGACTACAGTAATAATATTGTATTATATACCGGAAACTTGCTAAGAGAGATTTTTGGTGCTCTCACCACACCAAAAGAATGTAGGTGAGAGGGAAAATATGTTAATTTGCTTTACTATAGTAACTATTTACTATGTATATTAAAATATCATGTTGTTCATATTTAATATATAAAATTTAAAATAAAGATGTTTAAATCAAGTTCTTTTAAGAAATATATAGCAATACTCTACATCAGATTTCATTATTTTTAATTTAATCATCTTATTAAGTTATGTAGGTTCCAGCTACACAGAATACGGGGGGAATTTTTTTCCCTTTTTTTTTGATTCAGAGTCTTACTTTGATGTCCAGACTGGAGCACAGTGGCACACACACGGCCACTGTACCCTCCACCTGCTGGGCTCAGGTGATCCTTTCCCCTCAACCTTCCAAGTAGCTAGATCCACAGGCCTGCACCACCACGACCAGCTAATTTTTTGATTTATTGTAGAGATGAGGTCTTGCCAAGTTGCCCAGGCTGGTCTCGAACCCCTGGACTCAGGCAATCCTCTCGCCTCTATCTCCCAAAGTGCCAGGATTTATAGGCAGGAGCCACCACGCTCGGCCTTTTTTTCCTTTTTTTCTGCTTAATTCTCAAGGTGATGGTAGGAAAAAGAAAACAATGTTATCAAGTGCATCAGTTGGTCCAGCAATTCCACTCCTAGGCATTTATCCAAGAGATATGAAAACATATACACACAAAGATTGTATAAGAATGTGGCAGCTTCATTTGCAACAACTAAAACTGAAAACAAACCAAATACCCACCAACAGAAGAAGTGATACACTAATGATCTGTGGTGATTCATACAAAGGAATATTACTCAGCAATAAAAAGGAATAAACTACAGAACGTACTACAACATGAATAAAATCTGTAGAAATTAGACTAAGGTAAAGAGGCTGGATGCATGCTATATTATTCCATTTTGTGAAGCTCTAGAAAATGCAAAATTAACTTATGATGAAAACTATCAGAACAGCAGGTATCTCTAGGTGAGGGTCAGGGATTGTCTGGGAAGAGGATGTAAGAGAAATTTCTAGGGTAATGTAAATGTTCTCTGTCTTGATGGGGTGATGTTTACATGGGTATATTTATTTGTCCAAATAGTGTAGCTAAGGTATGTACATTTCTGTGTATGTACATTTTATTTCAAAAATGAACTATTTTTAAAAATCCCATATATTTGAAATGGTTAGAAATATAAGTGAAACAATAACCGAATTTTGACCATTGTTAAAGCTGGGCGATGAGTATAGGCTTTTATTACACTTACTGTTTACTTTCTACAAATGTGACATTTTCCAAAAAAAAAGTTTAAAAATAGATTATCAGTGAAATATATAATCAAAAATGTCCATACCATGAAAATATACCTCTCAGGAAGCTTTCTCTATATGTGAAAGACATTTCTAAAACCCCTGGAGATCCCTGTGTCTCTGCTTCACAAGGAGAATTTTAAATGGGGCTCATTATTTTCTCCTCTCCCCCACCCCACCCCCACCCCCACCCCCAGCAGGCCTCCCATCTAATGGGCCATCAGAGTGAATATGATATGGTCGTCTCAGCTACCACCAGCCCCCAAATTACTTCTTCTCTGGTCCTTCAAATATTGGTGCAGATGGAGAAATCAGAGCTGCTTCACAGTGGTAAGAAAGTGACTGATTCGACAGATCCCAACCTCAGTCTTTTTTCATTCTACCCACTCTGAAGATGTCTGGTTTTATAACTTAATGAGAAAATGGAAATGTCCTTTTTTAAAATCCTGATTTTAAAAAAAGAAAGAAAAAAATATATATATATCACATTCAGATTTTTTTCTCTCTTATTTCTCAGCAATAAAAAGGAGACATATACTTTTCAGAATAATAAAATACAGAGACTACCAACCAAGATCAATGGTCAATTTCTACTATGGACTGATAAGGCTTAGTGACACACCAGTCACTGCACGGGTCTTGTTTTCTAAATTTTGCCTGAGAAAGTTCCACAGTTTTTCGTATGGCATGCCCAGAGACTCAGAAGCATCATACAGAGACAAAGAATGAACTCAGGCTCAATCCCTATTTAAATTATACCTTAATATTCTCCTAGGCCATAATAGAATTATAAGTGCACTTGGTAAAGATCTTCTTGATTATTTGGCTCAAGTATTGGTATCAATCAGTTTTCTGAAGTCAGCATAATATAAACATTGAAATTAGCTAAAATTAAAGATTCAAAAATCTACATACTTTATAACTTTTTTCCTTACAAATCTTGCTACATGTCTATTTTTATACATCCCTGACAAATTCCAGTGAAGAATTTCTCCAATAGCAAATACTCAGAAGGAAAAAGTGATCCTTGCCAGTATTCTCATTTATTCATCCATCCAACAAACAGGTGAGTGACTATGGGTACCAGATGCTCCTGTAGGTACTAGCAATGTAGTAGTGAACAAAACAAAGCCCATGCCTTATAGAGCTTACATTTCAGCAAGGAGAAGCAGGTTTATAAGAAGGGCTGAGGACAGTAAGTACCATGGAGGCTAATGAAAGTACCATGGAGGGTAAGGGTAAAAGGCTGTGTAGATTGTAGATTACTATTTAATACACCTGGTCAGGAAGGGCCTTTCAGTTAGAGATGTTTGGGCAAATCTGAGAATGTAAAGTTCCAGAATTCCAGGCAGAGGAAATGGCAAGTCGAAGGCCAGGCACCTGAGCCTACTTGCAGACTGAAGAAACACAGCCAGTGTCACTACTGTGGTGTGAGTTAGGGCAAGGGCTGAGGAGTTGGGAGGAAGAGGGGCATCCAAACAATCTAGACCCTTGCAGGCCATTTTCAGGATCTGGGCATTTCGTGTGAGAGAGATAGGAAGCCACTGGAGGACTGTGAACAGAAATGATCCTGTTTAATGTTTGTAAAGAGATCACCAGCTGTGTGAGGAACAAAGGTTCCAACAGGAAAACCAACAGCTCAATGTACAGACCACAATACGTTCAGAGGAATGTTTTGACATTGTTTGTTTATAGGCTGTGTTCCATTATAAAACTCAATACTGAATTGCTCTCTTGTTAGCCACTGGCTTAGGGAGTTCAAGTTTTTGAGGAAGAAGCAGTGTCATCACATGTCACCTTCCAGGCTCTAATTTGATCTATTGAATTCTGGTTCCTTTACCTCAATTAATCTAATAGACAAGACAAAAACTGCCAGTTTCCCAAATGATCTTCATTTTCAAAATATCTCTCACAAATATATTTTTGCATGTTGGATGCAAAAGTTTTCATATTATAGAGGTTATTCAGAACCCTCATCATGACGTACGTATATCACAGTAGCCAAAACCCATTTAACTAATATTTCTCAAAGAAATAAAAAAAAAATACTGCAAACCCTAAAACCCACCAACACTCTCCCAGACTTATGTTTCACAGTTAGTTTATGGAATCTATCTTATAATGAAGATGATCGCTTTCCTATCTCCAATTTCCTTAAGTTTAGTGAATAGCATGTCTAACAGCAGCCTGACCCAAACCATGTCATTATCGCTTTCTGTTATTAAAAGCTGGGTACAAACACCTTACTGCCCCTGGCAGACCTGTCAGGATTTTTAGCCACTCTTGAGGGTTATTAATTGGTTTAAGAGGGTGTCAGAAACACATGCTTTCCTGCACACTTTGGTGATTTCATCCTATGCTCAGAACACTGATAAATTAAATCATTCTGGCTGTCGTGAATCGCTGCTGTCACGCCTGAGTATCAGGATGAGCAAGCAACAGAAAATATGATGCCTATTCCACTCTTTCAAATCTCATTTCAGCATCTTGTATAATGTAACTAGGCAGGATTTTAAAACAAAAACAAACATTATAAAATAATTCGCCTTGGTTTCACAAAACCTAAGCCCACTTGTCAGAATATTGATGGCTTTTTTTTTTCTTTCCATCTAAGCCAGGAAGGGGATTGGGCTGGGGGGGTAGGGAGAGGCTATTTAAATGAATAATCCAGCCATTTGCTTACCGCTGGATCTTTAATGAGAGGGTGGGGGAAGGTACAAGGGACTTACTAGGGAATTGTTACAGCCGCAGACACTACAGTCTTATTTCTTCACCCTACTGAACAGTGTCAAGAGTCTGCCTCATTTAAGTTCTAACAAGTAAGCAGATTTCCCTCTGTGGGGTTAGGCTTTTGCTGTACTAATGCCACTCCAGACTTTTATCTTATCTGTCCCCATCTCCTTCCATTACAAACACCTATTTCATTTTTTTTTTTTTTTTTTTTGCTTCATCTTAATGGTACTGAGAGCATCTTTGCAATAATATGAACCCTTAAACCCTTCCCAAGATAAGGAGAGAGAGAAATAAATAATAAAATACATCAGGATTTCCTTCTCCATGACTAAATTTAAATACAGCAGGCGGGGGGAAAATGGTGAAAGGGCTGTGTGGGTGTCTATGGCAAGATTTCTCGGTCTCCAGGAGAGAAAAGGATAGAGACCAAAATGCGAAAGGGATTTGAGAACCAGGTGTGTGTGTATGTACAGTCATTCCCAGGACCGAGGCAAGAATTCAGGAAGAAGGGAGGGAGACGTAAAAAGATAAATCAATCCAGGCAGTCACCCACCCCGAGCCCTCCCGAGTCCTCTCCAGCCCACTGTAGGGCTCAGAGCTTCAAGCAAGGGACCCGCTGCTGGCCAGGGAGGTGGAAAGCGATGGGGAGGGGGTTGGGGACGGGTATGTAGCTGGCCAGGGCATGGGCGAGGAAGCCAACAAGGCCATCCGAGATCGCCTGCCGAGATTGGAAAGACAGGAACCTACCTGGAGCCGTGGAAGGGGAAGATGCCCCAGGTCCCTCTGGACTCTCCTCTTCAGCCTCCTCCCGCTGCTTTTGCTGCTTTTGCTGCTGCTGCTGCTGCTGCTGCTGCTGCTGCTGCCGCTGCTGCTGGATGAGGCTGAGGTCCGAGCGGCCGAGATCGGCTCTGGCCGCCGCGACCAGCCGCGCCTTCAGGAGCACCGCGGCCAGGCCGAGAAGCAGGGTGCAGGGGACGCGCCGGCACAGCCTCGCCATGGCGCAGGGCCAGCGGGCCGCCGCGGCATATTGCGGGGCACCGGGCAGCGGCGGGCGCCAGGGCTGCGGGCTCCCGGCG